TTATTCTCAAAGAATTACTAAAATTGTTTTACTTTTTACACAATATTTCTACTTGAAAATTTTTATTCAGCTTCTTATAATAGGAAGGTTTTGAAATCTGGTTGTACCTGAAGTGCATTTGTTCCACCTCAGGCTTTACAGAACACCAGTCTCCCTATAACTGTTAGAGAAGCAAAGACTGGTGAAAGATGTAGGTGGTTTAATTTCTGAATGATTTCAATTAATTTTTGGCCTGGCTTTCAACATAACTAAATCCATTTGGACAGAGTTGGCAATAAAGAGCTTTACTTACTGTGAGCACCTAAAAGCTTCCTTGCGTGATAAATCTTTCTTTTCCAAGTTCAGTTGTCTGGTAAATATTTATTTTCCAAGCTCTGTATTTTCCTATAAAACATTAACCCTCAAAGACAACAGGAGTTTATCTTTTGATTATATCTTTTGATCATCAGATCCATGTTTCTATGTCCATAGACATAATCTCCCCAGGAAAATTCCTATTCATCTAAGCATTAAAAAATTGTACAGTACAAGTTAATGCAACCAAAACACCATTAATCACTTGCAAATATCCTATGCAGAACACACTGAAAAAAGGGGAAAAAATAACCAAAATAACCATACCTTCAAACTGAGGTGATTACAAATAACAGCTCATGCTTTCCATCCTCCACTGACAGGTATATATCATGCTATCATACCTTCTACAATTTGTCTTCCAGAAATACAACTCTAACTTTATAAATTGTTCAAATGCCTAGTAAAAGTGATTTGTTTCCTCTAGATCTCATACACTTTGTTTGTGTGAAGCTAATTTAGCTGGCAAAAAATTATCTGTGCATAAATGTGGCCATAGGAAAAGGTTAAGGCTTCAATTTGTGGGGCACAGCTGCTGTGGGCATTACTTTCAATGATTTAAATGGACTTGGAGCCTGAATTTCTCTTACTATGGATAAAAGGTACCCCACTGAGAAGTTGGTAGATGCCCAAAAAGGTTGAAGTCCTGTGCTGGAAGCCTGTGCTAGGGCAGGTTTCTGGGAGGACCTGTGAACCCGCACAGAGAGGAGCCCACGCTGGAGCAGGTTTGCTGGCACCACTTGTAACCCCACGGGGACCCACGCTGGAGCAGTTTGTGAAGAACTGCAGCCCAAGGGAAGAACTCAAGCTGGAGAAGCTCATGGAGGCCTGTCTGCCATGAGAGGGACCCTGTGATGGAGCAGGGGAAGAGTGTGAGGAGCACTTCCCCTGAGAGGGAAGGAGGAGCAGAGAAAACAATGAACTGACTGCAAACCCATTTCTCATCCCCCTGTGCTAATGGGGTGAAGAGGGAGAGAAAATTGGGAGTGAAGTTGAACTGAGAAGGAGGGAGGATTGGAAGGAAGGTATTTTTAAGATTTTGGGTGGTTTTTTGCCACTACCCTACTCTGATTTGATTGGTAAAAAAATAAAACTAATTTCCCCAAGTTGAGTCTGTTGTGCCTATGACAGTGTGCTGAGTATTTGATCTCCCTGTCCTTATCTTGACCCAAGAATCTTTTCATCGTATTTTTCTCTTCAGTGTCCAGATGATGAGAGGGAGTAATAGTGGCTTGGGGGGCTTCTGGCATTCAACCAGGGTCAACCCTCCACATTACTGCTCGGATTAAGCAGTACACACAAAAGAGGAAAAAACACCACTTAACTGATGATAAAATTCTCTGAAATGCCTCCTTGGGGATATATGTGACCACCAAATAAATAATAAATTAACAGAATAAAAATTAGAAGGAAGACTTAGTATAAATAATGGAGTTTGTTCCAATTAATCTTCAAACTGGATGTTAAAAACTCACAGGTTCTACTCCAGGTGCTGGGGTTTCGGGTGATGAATACCAGCTCTGGATATTGTAGCTGGGGCAGCAGCTCTTAAACTTGTACCTGAACAGGAGCCACATTTACAGGCAATGAATGTGTGCCTATGACTCTGTCAGGGTCACAACCTAGTGACCCTGACAAAAGGGTCACTAGGTTACATCAGTAAACTTTTTAGCAAAAGAAAGTTAAGATATGCTGTTTAACAAGAACGTGATCAAGGCAGTCATGTTTATTACAACCCCACAGAGGATTATCTGCAACACAATGCATACACTATTCCTTAAACAAGCTAAACAAACTCTGTTTGAACATGCCTTAGAGTTTTTTTACCAGAATCACAGAGGGTGACAAATTCAAAAGGTTTTACTTGACCTTGTATGAGTTTGTTGGAGTTTAATTAATTTAAAAGGGGGCTAGCCTGCTTTGCCAATGTGAATTCTCCTGAAAGCAAATTAAAGCAGAGGAGAGAAAAATCTCTCTCAAGGACAATGGAAATAATCAGAAGATGATTCAGAGCAGAAGTCTAAATTTAGGTGCTCCAAAATGATTCTCAAAGAAGCCACTTCCTGTTTCTCAGATAAAGTTAGACTATATGGCTCACCCCACCAGGCACCTTGCTGAATAACCAGAGGATTACTAGTATTTAAGTTTCTAAGACAGGAAATTATAAAACTCTCATCACTTTCCAGAGGTTACATTCAGATTTTAGATTTGGATTCCATTACATTCCAGCATTTCAGAGAGCCTGCAAAAGTGGTTTAGCTGTATAATTAATAAGAAGGAAAGAAGTCTGTATCCTACTGTGCTGACTGATTTAGACTGATTTAGATTTCCTACACTAACCTTCCATTGATGCTTTGTGAAGGCTGACCTAGAACAGAGACTAGACAGAGTTAAAGAATAAAGTAGGTATTTATTAAAAGGCTTCAGTGGGCACACTTTGGGCAGTACAAGAGCCCAGCCAGGGCTATACCCAAGATGGACCCAAAATGGTCACAAAATGGATGACCGGTCACAAAGTGTCACACTTCTATAAGTTTTGGTCCATTTGTATTACTGGAGTTACTTGTCCAATTATAGCTTTAGGTTATGAAGTCCCACCCTTGCTTTTCTCTCTTCATTCCACCGCTGTTTATGCTCTTGGGCCTGAAATTTGTATTGACTGTCCTTGGTCCCAAGCTAGAGAGGAATTGTTTTGTCTAGCTACTCTGTGAAGAGAGCTTACCATCCCTTAATATGAAGCTCAGAACCACACACTAAAGCAGCACAGAATCTGAAAAATATAAAAGCTAAAACTGTACTACCATAGTACAGTGATGCAAGGACTTCAATAATGGAATCTTAAGTCTATTTTACTGAGAGACTTTCCAAATACCAGTTTCAATAATCTCATAATTGATACCTTGAGTTACATCAGCTCACATCTAGAAGGCACATTCAACATTACAGTATTCAAAGGCTAATTTAAGGCTCTTTTCTGTGCCAAACAGGCAAGACATAAAGTGTTAATTAGGTATTAAATATTACTTAGCAATAGCAAAAACCAAAGAAATTATAAGAATAAAAGAAAAAGGAATGCACAGTGCAAAACTGTCTCCAGAAAAATAGAGGAAGAAGAAATGGGAAAACAGATAAAGGGAAAGCCACTGTAATTGTGTCTCAAAGGCTCACCTTGTTAGCATCCATAACAATGTTGAGGGACTCAGTCTACATAGGATTTATATCCCTATTTAAAACAAACCTTTTTGGCCCCTCATGGGTTATATTTGCTTGTTCTCTCAGAGAAGATGACAGGAGAACTGCAAATTGTATTTCAATAGAATCTTATCACTTAAGTGCTTAAACAACAACATTGTATTGCAATTAAAACTTCAGAAGATGACACATCACTGAAACAAGAAGCTTTTGTAACATCAAACCCAAGTTTTCCTCCTTTGTATGTTTATTAGGTGGTTATTTAAAATAACAAAAAATTCAGTGAACACTCAATAGAGCAAAATGACTGCATTTTAAGTAATAGCGACTTATTTCTGTTTTGGTTACAGGAGAGTTGGTCACTAGTCTTCATGACGTGGGAGATATAAAGGAGGTACCGTGGGTCTCAAGAGAAAATAACAGGCCCTTCAAGGCAGCTGGATCAGAATTGTGCAGGCTACTACTTTCTGCCTACCAGCATCGTGCCCTGCCCTCCAGCCTTTCCAAACCACCAGTTCTCTGCACCCACGTCCAGTTGCATCAAAACCTCAGAAAAATGGAAGAATTCTATCTCTTACATGCTCTCTGAATTCTGGTATTGTCCATTTTGGATGGAGAATGACATCCTAGCAAGAACACATCTGTTTCTTGCCATCTTTGCACTCTCAGGTTTCCTGGTGTACAAAACCACACAGTTCATCAGCTGTCAGAACTTCTGAACTAAATTAATTCCAAATGGGCATTTCTTTTGTGTTCATATACCTGTGATGAGGAACTTTCAGAACCTGAAGAGAAGGAGCAGGGTGAATGTTAGTGACACCATTTTCATATAGTAGGAATTTTTCACTTTTTCCTGAACTGGATCTTGGACTGAATCCCTGTACTCAGCCAACAGTTTACATTAATTTATTCTTGTCTTTGTGCTAGTTTAGCCCCAAATTTCCATTAAGCCTAAGGATAGGAAAGGAGATTCCCAGTCTGAAATAGCCATATTCTGCACTCAATTCTAATAGAAAGTGTTAAATGGAGAAGAAAATCTATGCAGCTGCCAGCATTTAGTAGCATAAATAAGCAAGCATTATGTATTAGAATTATTTGTCTAGTGTTTTGGCAGGACACTCCACGATGTCCTTCTAGAAGTCTAATTAAAACATCCTGCTTCTCCTTCCAGAAAAAAGTATTACTCAGTCTAATCTGTCAAATTGAATGTTCATTACTTCATGCCATGATTAACTGTCCTTTGGGACATGCAAAGAACACATAAGTGTAGAATTTGCTTGCAATGTTTGAGCTTTCTATTGCTCATCATGTGGCTGACCGAGTGGCCTCAGCATTGTGTTATTACCCTGCAGCCTCAGGCAAAGGCAACATGAAGAATTTGTTATGCAAGAGCCATGGCAGTTTCTTTACAAGTGAGATGGAAAACATGCTGCACAGCAAGGAATGTACCTTACCCTCTCCATTCCCTGCAATTCCACCAACAAACAGAGTGACACACTGCCGGCTGCTCCTCCAGCTGACATCCTACCACACAGAAGGGACACACAGTGAGCTCCTCTCCTCTCCTGTTGTAGTTCTTATCACAGAGACAATTGTTCACAAGATTTTTTTTTTCCCCTCCTCATTCTTATTCCCTTTAATAGTGCACTTTCTTGGCAGAGTTGCCTCAGCAAAGCTAATGTTGCATTAAGCAACACGCTCTCTCAGAAAATGATAAAAGAGTTAGTGCAAAAGAATTAAAGAAATTACCTCAGCAAGTGAGAACAAATCCTGTTCTGACAGACAGCCACACAGTCCAGCAGGACTGTGAGAACCCAAGGATACAGAACAGTTATCACAATTTTGCCACTGCTTTAGCAGAGTGGATTCTGCAATCAGTTGTACAGCTGGAATTCAAAAAAATACAAAGTCAGTCTCCTAAAGTAATACACTGCTTCCAAAGAAATAGTTGTATGAGTCACAGATTAGAAATAGCTTGGCTGCTTGTGGATTGCTGTTTTAGTGAAGAGTATTCACTTTGATTTTCCAAAGCCTAACAGGTACAAGTTCATGATCCTCAGTGCTTGTCTTCAGGTTTACCCAGTTAGCAGGAAACAAAATACTCTGTAGAAGGCTGATTGTGAAGGTCATAATACCTCAAGACATACCTTACTGTTTTTTACCCTTCTGTTCAGGACAATGGAACAAGAGAGAAGAGCACAAAATCCTTTATAAATCTTCTGATCAGTCACATTCAACCAGACAGGTTATTTCCAATACACCCCAATAAAGGTAAGGATCTGCTGCCACATACAGCAGATGTGGATGTTCCTTGAAGGAAGGTGGGAATAAATACACTTTTTATTTGGTCTGTACACTAACCAGTGTTTCTATGTTTCACTTTTTCACTCTGTATGTAATTAAAATAAATTAGTGCTTAAATTTAGCTTATGGGCAACTAATTCTTGTGAGTATGTATGCATGCATACACGTACCTGCATGCATTTCATGTGTATAGCATAACGTGCATTATCCTTTTCATAAAAGCCAGAGTACACAAAAGTCACATGTAGCCATGTGCATTCCAAATCCACACCTTCTTATTTATATTGTTCCCTTACTCTTCTTACCTCACTATAAATATCTGACCAACAATGAATTTGCTGCCAAATGCAAATTCTTCTTACCGTGCACAAACAAATGCTGTTGTCACTCTAGATTGTCACTGTACACAGCTTTTCCAAACAGGGCACATGTTTCCTTATGGACATATTTATCATACTGAAGAACATTACTGCTGTGATGAAATGCTTTTGAAATACTGAGTCATTGAGAGACACTTTATCAATGCTTCAACACACTCAAAAATAATCTTCATGTCTAATACAAACAACCCATTGACAATTATCTTGATAAAAAGTCTTAAGGGGAGTAATTAAAGACAATGAATTCATTTACTTTGAGAATAAAGTTCTCTTCTGGCTGCAAGTACAGCTCCAGGGTAGATTGTTTAACCATCTGCTCAGACTGTAGGTTCCCCATCCTCAGAACATCCAGAGATGGAAACAGGTCACTGATCACGCCTGTGAAAATTGGGATATCATCTGTCACTATTTTATGTAAATTGAAGTCTCTTAAGACTCACATAAGCACATGGAAAAGGAGGGTAAACAATATATCACAAGAACATTAAATAATTTTTTTTAGGAGTCTGTTTTTATTCACAGGCAAAACACCAGAAACATATTTTACCCAATCCTCAGGTCTGTTCTTGTCTCCTTGTTTCAGGGACCCAGAAATTACCAAAACTGCCTTGATAGCATGAAGACCCCAGTCGTAACAGCCCTACAAAGACATTTTAACCAGCCATGTCAGCACATGAAATAAAACTAAGTGGTAATGTTCATGAAGAAAACAATCATTTTACACACAGAGTAAAACAAGGCACATTTATTCACTTGTAGTCTTTCAGTGGCTTTTGGTCAGTATTAGAGGTTGACTAAAAAATATAAAAGGCTGAAATATATATATATCTGTATATCTTTTTCATTTTCAGTATTCCATCATTTGGTTCCCCATTCTTAACTGGCTACCAGCTGAGTAAAGTTTGAAAACATATTCTGCAGCCACATCTAGGAATTTAATATAAATAAAGCCTATTAGTATTATCAATTCCAACACCCAACCCCCCCCCCCCCCCCATAAAAAAAAATAAATCCCAAAACAACAACAAAACTGGAAGTAAATTCACAACTTTAAAATACACCTTTGAAGTTGACAGATGCCACGCCTCTATCCTCTTCCATGACAGTGGTAACTCTAAGTGTGAATCAAATGCACTAAATACAGCACAAAAAAGAATTTAAAGAAAAGTAATTTCCAAACTCAGGACAGTTCACGATCAGCAAGAAAACATTTCTGAGGTAAATTATTATTTATCTATTATCTGCATTGAAAATGAGTCTCCACATTTTAGAAATGGTACATCGGGGCAAAGAAGTTAAAACAGAATTGATAATGAAACCAGGAAATTTAGGAATAGACTGCGCTTAATAAGATTTTGGTTAGACTTAGGCAAGTTGGTTTTTTTGTTTTGTTTTGGTGGTTTTTTGGTTTTATCTTTTTTAGTTTGTTTTTTTTTTTCCCCCAAAACTTTTTTTTTTGTTGTTAGCTGTCTGAAGGGGTGTTAAAGAGCAGAATACGCATCTTAAAAGCAGCTTGGTGAGTGGCTTGTCCAGTGTACAAGGACCTTCTCTGCCATGGCCTGACAGGACTAGAAGTCCCTTGACAACATATGCACTGAAAGCCCTGCCTGATAACCCTGTTCTGCAGCAGTTTCCATAGGCTAGAATCCCAAATGAATATTTAAAATTCTAAAAGTCCCAACACTGGAGCAATACTCTTGGAACTCTCTGAACTGCTGTATATTTTATGCAGAAGCCCAGAATTTTTTCTCAGAGGTATTTGATTTCTCCCATGTCCATCAAAAGTAAACCAAATGAGAGTTAAGAAGTAAACAAAGAAGAGCATTTGAGATTTTGCTTCAAACATTAGTGTTATGATTAATACTGAAGTGGCAAACAATAGTATAAATTACTTTTCTCAATTCAGAATGTGCCTCCAGGACAAAGTAATCATTACACTCAAGGAATCTTTGTTCTAGTGAAGCAAACAATATTAATTATCTTTAGATAAGCATGGTTTAATTTCATTATCTCTAGAAAATTGCAAGGATGTGTCAGGAAATCTTCAGGATATTTAGACATAATTTTGAAATTATGCAGGCATGAAAATAAAGTTGTTTTTTATTTCATAAAGGCCCTGCCTGCTATTTGAGTTTATGGCTTAAGATTGAAGGATTCTTCAAGTTCAAATTCCATTGATAAAAATTAATATTAGGAATATCTTGCAAAAAATCATAGAGCTGGAGACTATTAAACCAGCATACATACAGGGAAGAGATCATACAATTTCTAGGTTTGCATTTTTAAGATATTATTTCTGAATATGGCCTCTTTCTAGTATAATAATTAAATTATTTAGAAATGCTTTTCTCCCTCCTTTTTTTCAAACAGTTGTCACTGCTTTTACTGGGGAAAGTTTCAAGACATGTTCATTCAATTACAATACGCTGTGTGTTTTTCAGAATAATTTATACTCTGTTACTCTCTTCTCCAAAAGATGGTTATTTACATGGGTGTTACACAGCAGCACAATGTAACAGTGTCATCAGTGACAGCAGTCATCCCAGGCATGAAGTGGTGATATACAATTGTTTAATGCAAAACAAACACATTACAAACATCCAAAGGTAAGAAGAAAGGACACTTTTTTCCAAATTCATGTCTGATGATTTATTAAGGATGGACATATGATTTAAAGCACCTTTAAAATACAAGATAAGACCATATGCATAAATCCCTCCTATTATGCAATATTCAGCTGCACTGGTATGGAGTGTGTGCTAATGGATATGTATTTGTCGTGGCAAACACTCCGTGTGGTTTCAATCCATGACAGTATTAAATCCAGAAGCCCAAAGAACCCTCACCTGTTCAGGCAGCAGCTCCCTGCAGAGAGGTTAGAAGGTGATGAACTTCCTGGCTAACAAACAGGCACCAATAAACCCTTCAGCAGCCAACATCATTTCAGAGACCAGTTCAGTGTCAGGGACAAGCATGGCACAAGTTCTAGGGAAGGGAAAAAACCCATAATCCAAATACACAGATTAGTATTTAAACATGGTGAGAATAAGTCAGCTAAATCAAATATCTGATGTGTGCAAACATTTTAAAAAACAGAGCTCAAGAGAGTCACAATTAAGAGTGTCAATCAAAGCTGACAAGGACCCTAGCTCAAAGCCAAATGAGCTAATTAGGCACTGTTGATTGTTAATATTCCATAACATTGCTGCACAAAAGAGGCATCTGAGAAACACAGACAGGTACTGCCCAAATTCAGAGCAGGCACAGGCTGCAGTGGTGGCACTTGTCACTGATCACTGGGGGCACAGCCAGCAGCTGTACAGGGCCTGGAAGCCAAGTGCAACACAACCATTGCTAAAAATGCCACTCTTTTTTAAAGCTTTTCAAATTTTTTTGAGAGCTTTAGTGCTTTTATGCGAAGGCTTGGTTGCCTTTAGAGGTTTTACTGTTTATTTTCTAAATATAACTGCTAAAACTCTTAGAACAAAAACCCAGAAATTGTAATGACACAAATGAAAAAATCTCATTAAATCTCATTTTTAAAGGAACATGAAGTAATAATGTTATTGCTAAACAATTTCACAATTTCCTCATTAAAAATCATTACTTAAGTTACATACTAGCAAAAAAGGAGATCTTAACTTTTGTGTTCAAGGCAGTTACAAACCAGCAAATTTGTCCCTCAGAGCTCTTTCTTACTACTGAAAAAACCACCAATATTTCTTCTTTTTCTCCATCCAGAAATATACTGCTGAACTAAAAGACCAGTTTTAATTTTGTCATATTTGAGTATGAATGGGGAACCAAAGGTTCTCATGCAGTTCTGTCTGACCTGCACATGCAGGGATCATAGTAATAAATATTCAGCTCTGGATTTCAGTGTAATGTTGTCACTAAGAAATACAAATCTGTTAAAAAAAGATAACACAAAGAAGTGTTAAAAGAAAGATACTACTTACAAAAAAAGAAAACTTACCAGACCTTAGCAAGCAGAGGTATTTCAGCTTTTAGTAATCTGTCTGGCATTAAATTCAGAAGGAAAACACTGAGAGCCACAGACAGTGCATGTGGTTGAAGCATGTCTATAGGAAGAATCACCTTTTGAAACAGAATAAAAGAAAATTGGAAGGGATACAGAGGGTTTGAAAAGGCCAGGAGACAATATTGAGTAAAAAAAAAAAAACCAAAATGGAGAAAGGTGAACATAGGACAGTGGAAAAACAAGGCATGTCTCAAAAGCACTGGCAAGTCCTGGAACCACTGAAGTTTCTTGCAAAGTTGAAGTTCTTCCAAACTTCTCACCCATAGGGTGCCACAATCTCACATGGTAGGACTTGAACCAGTTTCAATAGCAAAACTTTAATTGTAATCTGGTAGGACCAGGGTTTACTCACATTTATTCCTACAGTTTGAAGAGAAAGTTATTTTTGGGTAGTACATTACACAGATGACTTTGTGTTACCATCTAGTCTTTCATTTACAAATAGTTTCAGAGGAACTTCAGAGGAAGATATTACTGGTTCAGAATTTATAGCCTGCAAAGGACAAAGCACACTCACTTCTTTTTCTTCCTAATTTTATCACGGATAGGCTTTTTTTGTACTGCCACTATTGACTAGACTTCTACCAAGAGATGATTGAATTCTTCAAAGCTCCTGTCTGGACCAAACCTTTAGAGATATTCCCCACAGATAAAATTAAAATATTTAACATCTTTTCCTTGAAAGCAGCAGTTTCCAGTGTAATTCACATGAAAAAGAAGCTAAACAGCAATCTCCATACTGCTTAACAGAATATCTCACCTCGTCATCCATGTATTCCGAATAGATGAAAATTTTCACTGTCATACCAAGGGCACAGCCTAAATCTTCCATGGTCCCTGTCTTCTCTGTGCCAGCTGGTCCTGCAGGAGCACCACGCACTGCTAGGTGGACAACCTGGCTGGAGTAATAGAACACCTTAACATATGAAAAGGGATTTTTTGGATTGCAATGAACTTCTACAATATCAGGAGCTTTTATTATAACCCTTGTTTTTCATGGATTATTTATTCCAAGTCTACTTTCTCATTACAATTTAATGACCTAAACCACAAATGTATCTCTTCTATATTCATGTAAAATCATGGTGTGATACTACTTTGAAAGAAAAGAAAACTAACTACATCAATATTTTTTATCAAGAAGGAAGATCCTATCAGTGATCACACAGGACAGGAAACAGGAGGCTGTAGTTGCTGCTTTGCTTATTTCAAAGCAGCAACTCGAATGTCAGAATTTCAAAGACTTGAACGTCAGAATTTGGCCTCCCAGCTGAGGGTTGAAAGCATTAAGCTAGCCAGGATGCCCGAGTGTATCTTTTTTGATCACTTATTTAAACAAGAAATTCCATATTGGAGCTAAAACATGCCCAGAAGAAAAAGTTTCACTGTATGTGGCATGAAAAAAAAACCAAAACCCAATGGTTCGGACTTTTAAAAATGAAAAAAAAAAAAAATCTTTGCTGAAAACTCCTGATTAACCTTGACAAAGATCTGCTCATATTCCCCTTCAGACTAGACAATGATTATATAGCTTAAGTTATGCAAAAATATTTCAGTTTTTATAAAGGTAGTGGTTATTAAAATCATACAATTTCTTAAGTATGTGCACATACATACACACAGATTCTGAAATATATTGTGCCTTGATAACCTCATAATATACCTATGAGGTAGAAGAGAACTCTGAACTTTTAAGAAACATTTAACATTTCATTTCTGAACACAGATAAAGCAGGCACTGTTATTTATAGCAGTCATTACCTGTCAGTCAAAGATGTAATAACTTGCCAAGGGGTATTTCCCAAGTACTCATAAAAGTACTGAAACTGAGCATGACAAATGTTGGCAAAACTGTTTCTGGACATCATCCCATCTGTGGCATACCTGTGACAGCAAGCAAAAGCTCTGCAACTGGAGACCTAAGAGCCATCAAAGAGTCATGATGCCAGGTAGGAGCTATTCAGGCGGTACAAGTGCCACCCATCAGAAAGCTGCGGCTGTCATCAGCAGGCCTCACACCTCATTCCTGCCACTTATGACTAATAACTACTACAATCTATTATAAGGGATTAGATGCACCTCGAGGCATTTGTGCTTTTATACAGATGCAAGCGTAATAGAAGATAATTTTAATTGAGCTATTACAGCAGAACACAAGGGCTCTCCATACAAACAATGCAGTCTTTGCAAGGGAGCTGACATTACTTTGACCACAATGAGTTTCATTTTACTCCTCCAGCCTTGTTTCCTCTTATCTGAATGCCACCTTAAAAGCCCATTTTATTTCTGAGGCTCAGGGGGAAAATAAGAATTCTTTCCTATTTCAATTCCAATCCAGTGAAACATTTTGTTCATTCAAACCAAAAGCATTACTTTTACCTGAGCTAAAGTTATACATACAGTGAGCACTTTGGTTTAAATAAACATTCAAAATTTCAGTTGTCTGCACCTTTAAAAAGCCACCACAGGAAGAGGAGAAGCCCTGGAGGTGCACATGCCTCTGAAAGGAGAGCAAAACACATTGTGCATTACTGAAGGCAGAACAAACTGTGAATGCAAAACATAGCTGATTCGAACATGCACCCTCTGGGCTTGAAGGCTTGCTGATACCTCTCTGCCATGAACATCTTTGGTGCAAATGGCCATGATTTTTTCATGATCACCCGAGGAAAGTTCTCCAAGCAGTATGGTAATAAAGAGCATTTAGCTCAGTGACCTGAAAAGATTTAGGGAACCCTCTAAAACCAGATGGCTTCCAGTACCGTCTACCATCATTACTGCTAGAAATTAGTTCTGCCTACATCATGAACTAATTCACCATAAAAACTGGCTTGTACCTACAAATTTTCTGATATTCAGCATGAGATGCCAGAAGAAATCCTGGTTTAAACAGAAATTTGAACCATCTCCAAAACAGCAACAATCCAGGTGAGCACAAATGCTGCAGATGGTCAGCTAGGCACGGTAGGAGGAATGGATGGATGAGAAGATGTACATTAAATGGAATTGAAAATTCTGTGCTTATAATCTCCATAGCGATATGTACCAGACTTCATAAAATTGTACTAATTGTACAAGAACATTTATTGGCAAACTAAAAATAGTCCTTAGGAAAGATCAGAGACATTTTAAAAATAGACAAAGCACTAAGGGGATGAATACAAAATATGATATAAATGACTACATGGAGTTATGTAATACAAGGTGACTATGGAATTATTCAGGTTTCATATTAATAGGGGGGAAAACCCCGATGTCACCTACTGCATGTAATTCTAAGGAGACAAATGTAAAAATACATGGAAATATCAACAGAAAGATATAATGCATTTTCTATTACAGGGAAAATTTAGACAGTTCTGTCAGATATTCATGACCTCTTTAAAGTCTCTTTCCTATTTTGTATTTCCCTTCAGCAGATATTCTATGTTGGAAAACAAAACCAAAACTACTGAAAGTTTTCACAAAGAGAAAGAGTCCTCACAGCAGGAGAAGAACATTCAGGAGAAGTTTGAGGTAAAAAAGGGTAAAGCAAAAAATTAAATGGCACAAGGTATCCTTCTGAAATGGGACTAAAACTAAACATGGATGTAAACTGCTTGATTTGACATAAACAAACCCAATAGTTTTGGCTTCCTTACACAAATATATGGGTATATATGTATTGGATTGTATGCATACATACTGAATGTGTACTCTGTTCTTAGCACAGCATTGTGGCAGAATGCTCACTTTTAGCTTTTGTCTCAGTTCAGAATAATCCTACAAAACCCCAGTAATTAAGATGTGATAAAAATGCCCATGAGGTAGCAGAAATTGAAGAAAAAGCCATGTTTCTTTTTTCAGTAGGTGCTGTATTGTTTAATATGTTCCAGTAATATGTTCATATGTTTAACACTTAATATGTAAACTATACCAATATGACTATTTTCATGCTGTATTTACTTTCTGTGAATTAAACACAAAGGAGATGTCCAAACCTGCTTCTTGTGGCAATCCTTGAGGGCTGTTGCCAAGCTCTCTTTCAGCCTGCCAGATGCCATTTCTACATCTAAAACCCATCAGGTTTGTGAAGTACTAAGCTCAGCCTGGGCTGGGTGGTCAAAAACTCACTGTTCTCTCTACCTCTCTTCATGCCTCCATGGAGCAGAGATGTACTGCATTGTATACAGGTTCCTCAAGGTGTAGCAATCAAGACTCCACCTTTTGAAGCAAAAAAACCCCAAGCACGCATAAATTTATGCATAATGGTATATTTTGTACTAAAAATAAAGGAAGTTCATCTCATTAATCTTCACAAAGGATTTTTGTTACATCAGCACTTTTTGCAAACTTGAAATGAGAGTGGATTTTCCATCAATTTTCTCTGTCACTGTACCTTCAGCAGGATTCAGATGTGACACCAGATATTGGGGTTTTTTTTACATATCCACTTGATTTGAACACAGACATACTGTCTTAAAGCTCCAAATATGAAAGCCTGAAGTTTTTTGTGTTCATAGCCCCAGTATAGGCTCAAACAATACAGTACTTTCTGTCTCCGTGTGCTCAAACATAGCTCTATCTTGGAGAAACTATCTCCAAGAAGCAAGCTGCATATACTTGTCCATTCAGTCTGGGGCCTCCCTGCTGTGACAATCAATCATCAGAACCATGGGCAACATTGATTTTATGCAACGTGAATGCTTATGCATTCAGCACTGTTCTGAGAACAGTAAGTTATTGTCTCAGAAGTTGCTGATCTGTTCTCCCTGACCTACCGCTACCCTGTTAGCACACTGCTGGCTGGCCACTTGGCAAATATGAGGCTCAGAACCAGCTGAAAGGTTCAGCTGATAGGAGACGTGTGAGAGCGCTGGAGGTTTGGAGAGGTGTGTGCTAAAGGATAAGACAGGAGGGGATCTGAAACTGTAACAGAAGACAAGGTAAAAAGAGCAGCAGGAGAGAGACAGTATGAGAAATGCAATATCCAACCATAGTCTTGATCAGTTCTATGACTTTTAGTACTCATTTTTTCGTTTTTCATTACTTCCAAACAGTAAACTGTCTATCCTTCTGTTAAAAAACATTTTATGTACAAGAGAAAGATAGACAATTTATTAAATGATAGTAATTTACACAGCATTGGGTAACAAAATGTTCTGGGTTCATTATTTTTTTTTTTCCAAATTTATACAACTAAAAGTAACATTTCATGCAATTGAAAGTGTCTATTTAATCTACATCCCAAAGAGGGCAAAATTCATTAAGGAGATTTCACATAACATATGTGATCATTATATCTACATGTGTCATGGAACAGAACATGCTCCTTTTCTGTGCTGTATTTCCCAAGGGCAACATTTATGTATTCCTCTGTATTCTTTTGAAATTTAAGATCAGCAAGATTGTCAAAAAGTTTGGTAAGATGACGGGCTATTTGCATCTAAAAATACCACATATATAAGGAAACCATTTACATTAGATTTGTGTCAATCACACTAATGCATGCCTCTGTTAAAGTGGATGACTCTCTGACTGTTGCATGATTACTACACACAAGGTTTTTATGGGGAAAAGCTGGGCCAAAATGATAAATCAGTGAATGGAGTTAATTACACTTCTGTCAGTTGTCAGAAGAGTCTGAAGGACAAAGCTCAATATAAAACTGAGAAGTCTTGAAATTGTTATTATTTATGGCTAATGCTTATTCTACAAATTGCCTCATTAAGGTCTAAATGCCTTTTTTAGCTACACATCTCTCCAAAGACCATGGAATTTGAAAATCACTGTCTACACACCAGCACACTCTATGCCTGACACCTAAAACAGAAAACTTGTTTTCTTGCCTTATGTGTGAATGAAACAAATCATTGAGATTTAGTTACATGGAGAGTCTATAAGGGCCTACCACCATGTTTGAAAAGGCTCCATGTTCAAGCCTTCATCACCTCTGAAAGCATCAGTTCTTCTGAGTTACAAGTCACAGCCCTTCAAAAATAGGTTTTGCCTGAGGCACACTCAAAGTTGTAGCACCCAGAGAATTGATGGCTGTGGCTGGATAGTCACCGAGGCCAGGAGTATCATCTGGCATGGAGATAACACAGTATGAAGCTTCTGAAATACATCAAAGTGCCCGTGTTTTTATAGAGATGGGTGTCACAAAACCTAGGAGATCATTGTTCAAGGGAGGAACATGGAAGGATAGCTACAAAGCATTCTTCATGCAAGGGGCAGCAGCACAGTCAGTAACAGCCCAGCAGGCACCATAGATCTTCCAGTCTTACTTATCATCACTACGCACTGCGTGCCTGAAATTTGATCAATCCCTGCTAGAAGAAGAAGAATAGATTTGATGATCTCATTGACCTTTTCCTTTTCTAATTCCTGCAAACCTACAACCCAAAAATCCAAATAAATGCAACTTCCATGTGGCTAAATTTCCAGCAAAGACAGATCAGGATTTGTAACATGTCTCTCATCTCTTGTTGCTGAACACCTTGTACTCGTCTCAGCTGGGAGAAAAAAAATGCTTTCTACATTCCTTAGGCAAAATGTTCCTATTTTCAAAGTAAATTAGAAATTTGTTCAGAACAAAGGAGCAGTTCAATGATATTATCAGCTCACAAGGTTAGCTGGAAAACTTCCCTTTCTGTAAAGAAATTTAAGTACATTAATGCACAAAGTGGCTCAGCTGTTTTGGCTGTGTTCCTCTTTAAAGGATGTCTAGCAAGTCTGCTGAAAAACCAAAATAGAAGAAAGGAAAAAGTATGTGCTTGCTTTCTAAGCATACAGCCAAAGCTTTTTCACAAAAAGAGAGTCTGAAAAAGAGACAGATTTTAACCATCACCTTAAAGCCAGGAATTCCCACCCAGTTAAGGTAAAAATCAGACCAAACATTAGAACAGAACAATACAATCCACTATTGATTTAAAATAATAATGATGAACACAGCTGTAAGGAACAGAGAAGGTGGCAAGGCTTTCACATTTCCTTTCCAGAAAATGAAAGGAAACATTTCTTTCAGACTAAAGAAACCAGGGGAATGGAATTGTGCCAGAAAAAGGTAAGTCTGGGCAGGGGAAACTCCTCTTCAACCTTCCAAAGAGTCCAGCCTTAGGAAGTAAAGGATGAGAAAAAAAAATTTCTAACTCAACAGGGCAGTAACATGCAGATAAACTTAAAAAGAAAACCAACAAAGCATCAAATGAAAAAGTAGATAAAAATCACTTGAGTGGGGGAGCAAAGAAACCACTTTTTAAAAAGGTAGACGTATTATTTTTGATGTACAAAGAGTTAAAAACATGAAAACACACATTGGTATTGACACAAAAAGTACTAAGAATAAAAATATTCAATTATATGCCTATCTGGAAGGAAAAAGAAGCCATATTTATTTATGTTTGAGTGATGCACTCCAGCTATTAGCTTGGTATCTCTCAGAACAGAAGTGTCATCTCAAGAAACAGGTTTGTGGGTTTTTTTTTTTTTTTAACTTCCTACTGCAACATTTTCCTGCAAGAAGAAAGAGACTGTGACTCTAAACATGGCTGCCTCTAAAGCCAGGAAGAGTGAATGCAGGTGCCAAGTTCAAGGCATTCCTGCAAGTGTGTGGAAGGAGGACTTTGGCTGCACAAATCCACCACATCCTGTTGCAGGTGTGAAAGAAAGACCCCCAGAGTATGGACAGGGAGAAAGTGAATTTGATCCAAACAGAACACACTTTTAAGACCTTTAACAATTTTGACACCATGCCATCCCTAAATAACAAGCCTATGCCTCAAGTTGAGCTGGTCATGTAAAAAGCAGTAGAAATCCAATATGTCAAACAGGAACAAATGACAAAAAAATGATTGGGACATCTCACACCTGTACAAAAAGGAAACAGTCTGACAGCTCTCATTTCCTGCTTGCTGCAGAACTACACTTTGGAATAGTTTGTAATCATACAGGAAATTTTACCTCTGCTGCAGAGCTTCAGAGTTTCCATACACCTTTGGCTTCCTTGTAGCTTCCATCACATTTTCTTTATCTGTCAGTCAACAACAGCTGTACAGAAAGAAAGCAAGCTATTTCAACTCTCAAATTAATTTTTTTCTACTTCATATGGTTTACTAAATTGGGACAAGAAAAACATGGGGAAAAGAGCTGGAAGAATACACCTAATCAGCTTGTTTTAAGCTCTATTTCTTACATGGAAAAAGAAAAACAATTCCACAAACACATACTTTGACAGTGTTTAAAGTGAATATGAAGGAAAAGTGAGATGAACAGAGAGAACTGCAAATATCACTGATGATACCTTAAAACTCTTCAACAAGATAAAAATGACAGATTTTAGCAGAATTAGTAACTTAGAGTATTTCTGCTCATGTAAGCTCAATGCCTTTTTCAATATGCACCATGAAGAAACTTCAGCATGTTAAACACCACAAATAATTTAATTCCTCTTAACAGGGTTCTCAACTTGGACAAAAAATATACATTTTTAGCATATAGTGAAACATGCTGCTGTCAATGTTTCTAAATTGCAGATTTAAACAATTAGAAATATATTTGATATTTCAAGCACAGAAGCTTCCTATAGAAGATTATCCTATACTAGATTTTCAGAACTCTACATGATGAGGACTTCCCCTAGATCTGTGGATTGAATTACAGGTATACTGGCAACACAAAATTATCACCTTTACTATGCAAGGGTTCAGTGACTTCTTTTGGGCAGAATGAACAATTAAGGCACAATGCTTTGTGTCAGTTCAAGAGTTTATGTTGATTGTTGTAGTTACCTTTAGCCATTAATAAATAACAGACATTAAACTTGTATTTCAACCATCACTTTCCTAAATGGACTTTGCAGAAAAGATTTCTGCACCTCAGCAGTATCGTATCTCTATGTGCCTCCAGGAGGTTAAAATGCTAACAAAGAGTAAGCAAAAGAAGATATTAAAGATGTGTGAAGAAGTGACTTCCAGATCTTTGTCTCAAATTGTGACACCAGGAACTACCAGTCGGTGTGAAAGGAAAACAAGGCAGATAACGATGAAGATACCACATGCATTGAAATTCCATCCAAATAGAAATGACAGAATCTGCCATGTTTAATTTACTTCGCCAGCCTTTCACTTGTTCAATGAAATATACCACACATTTACTTTTCAGAATCACTCATATCTAAAACTAGGTTTTTTTGTTTCCCATACCGCCTGAACTCAGCAAAGTGACAGCATGATTTTACATACAACTCCACAGGGGCTGCAAACCCATTCAGAAAAATAAAATTTTAAAGGTAAGTCCCCAGAACAAAGCATGTTCCAGAACATTCAGCTTGGACATGAGTAATAAACCCACCAAAACATCCAAGTGGGTGGGAAGAGTGAGGAAGGGGTGGCACTGAGACAGATAAATTGCAGAAATAGATGGCTGTGGGACCTGCCTTGGCAAACCTTCTGAGCCGCACATCCATCTGTTCCACATTAATCTCTCTCCACTGGGTTTTAGTCCAATCATCAATGCTGCTCTGAAGCAGAAAGTGCAGATAAAAGCATCAACAACATTTGGTGAAGACAAGCTTCTGCCACAAACCTGATAAATGGATGCAGGGGGAAGTCCACCCTACAGCATGAGTTCAAGGGCCTAAATTTTTTCCTACACCCCCATTACTTTTCAAACACACACAATAATCCATCTTCTCTAAATTCAACTCAAAGACCAAGCATTTTAACAGTTTCATGTTTCTGATAAACAACTTTCTTGTGCTATTAGACACACACCTATACCAAGAGGTAACATACAAGTGCACCTGGGAGATTTTGGGAAGATGCTCTGCAACTCCTCCTGGGGGTGCTACCAACAAAATTACAGAAAAAAGATCTAGTACATGTATTTTTAACCTTGCCTATGGAAGGCAGCATCTTGAGGGAAACAGAACTTTGCAAGACTGATTCCCCATACAGATCTGTACACTGATTTTCTGGACTCTTGCTTCTAGATTTGTAGAGCTTTCTAATGTACAGTTCTGAGTTCTGAATTGGATTTTATGGATTTCTGAGTTTTTACTCAGTTACTTAAACTAGCCAAGCCAGTTCTGAGTATTAAAAAAGTTCTAAAGGAAACTACAAAGTTTGTTTTGCTTTGGGATTATCTTGAAATTGGTTGACTTGGGAACAGAGATATTTTTACTCTGGGTATCCTAAAACATAGCAACTATTATTTCAAAAACAAAAGGAAAAGTAAAATCTTCAGTATTTAATTTTGTTTTTTAATCAAAACTATAGCACTTCTAGGACCAAATTAAAAATATAACATTCAAATATAGTCTAAACTCATAAGTAATTTATAAGTAATTTAAAGAAAACTCTTACATTAATATAAACATGAATATCCCACACTTTCTTGAGCAATTGATCTTTTCAATATCGTTTCATGTGCTTGTAGCCTGGAATAGATACTTCAAATAGTTCTGTAGATAGATTCCTGCATTAGAAACATTTCTTTTTCCAGCATCTCAAGCTCTTGATTTGCTGGAAGAGGGAAGGAATGCTCCAAGTACAGTTGCAGGGTATATTGAGCTTACTTAACCTGCCAGTGAAATCTATAGATCCTGCATATATGATTCAAGATAAGAAAAGCTGAGAGAACTATGGCAAAGAGGCTACAAAGCTGCATTTGCTTTGCCTCTCAAAGCACCCAAAATCATGCAAATGACTCTGCATTGAAACCACAAAATAAAATCTGCATATAAAGAAGTTAATTTATATTCTTGCATTCTTTAACTTATTAAACCACTTCTTAAAGTTGTATAAATGTTAACAAAGTCCCCTCATGATGTTTTAAAAAAGAGCCACTTAATAGTGTACTTCAGGCTATTCTACTCAAGAGCACATTATGCTGTGTAAAGGAACATGAAAAAGTATTCAGAATTTAAAAAAAAAAAAAAAAAAATTGTAAGTATAAGCAACACTGGAAGAGAAACAAGAAACCTGAATTTGGTGGCACTAGAATTATACCAGCATCTTGGAAAACAAAAAATCCCCAAACCAACAAAAAAAACTCCCCAAACACCAGTAAAACAAAAACCCAAAAAGAAAAAACACCCAGCAAAAAAACCAAACGTGCCAACTCACAAATATTTCAATGTGTACATTGAAATATCATTCACTTTTTCACTGAAATATTACAAGCAAATATGTTTTTTCTGAGAATCCTCATCACCTGATTGAGATGAACATATGGATTTTCTACATCAAACAGAAAGGGAGCTTCCATTTTAAATCCTTCTCTGAATCCCATCTGCTTATCCATGAAGAACAGGTAGTGACATTTGTCACTGATTATGCTCGTTCTTATTAAGAAAAACAGAGACAAAAAGGACTGATCCCAGAATTCAACATATATCAAGTAAAGTGCATTTTCTTCTGAATAACTGCAATGTCAGCTGCCTGAAGAGGAATTACTTTGTGCTATACTGACAGAGCCCTGTTCTTAATGGCAATCTATTCTTTGGGCAATTCCTATTTAACAGAGTAACACCTTCTTTAAACAAAAAGAATCACACATGGTAGGAATACACCAGTAAGATCAGTATATTAACAGTGAGAATATCCCTGCATCTACTCATAAATAAGAAATTACAGTGGATGAATTATTTAACCAAAACTATACTCTATATCATAGCTTTTACTAGAATGTTTTAGAATCTATTTTATGTATCACTGGTAAGTACAAACTATTTGAACTTAATAAATTCAGTTATTTTATGTATGATCACATAAAACTTCATTTTAATTATGTTGGGAATCTTCCACACAGTGAAACCGAGAGTTCTACTCCTGCTGCTATACACACTTTCAAATATGTAAAGATGACCTGGAAGTAGCTTTCTTATTCCACAAATCTCCTCCCCAAAAAAACATTTGGTAAACCATGTGAAAAAAAAATCCATCAGGATGAAAACTATATCTTGACATGTGGTTTTTGTCTATATCACAAGTACAAGAAAGGGAAGCTTGAATCTGAATCATTTCACAGTAACTAGAAAATCACCTAAAGGTACAATCAAAAAATCCTACCAAAAATATTAGACCAGATAGGCACAGAAATAGAAATTTCACTGTGGACTGGCAGTGCATATCCCAAAAAAGACCAAATAAAGGTTTCTCATTTCTCATATGCAGATACTGCTCTTAAAACAATGGTTAAATAAGTTCTTCTTTTAATGCCAGTAGGAAACACTACAGCTGTAGTGTTTTCCCATCTATTCCTCTCACCAGATTTTTTTTAATTCAGAAAAATTACACTTGCCACTCACAAAAATTATACCTGGGAGTGGTGTGGGGCAGAATATAGAAAGAAAAAGGTGGCTGAGGGTGTCTTTAAGACAGCACCGCCTGACAACCATCAAATTCTACCTTTTGAAAACATATTTGAACAATCCCAAGCTACTGCTGCCTGTGATATGAAAGGCAAGGGAGGTTTAGATTAGATATTAGGAAAAAAATTCTTCACTGAAAGGGCTGTCAAGCATCAGAACACGCTGTCCAGGGAAGTGGTAGGGTCACCATCCCTGGAATATTTAAAAGGCACATAGATGTGGCACTTAGGGACATGGTTTAGTGGTGGACCTGGAAGTGCTGGGTTTAAGGTTGTATTTCAAGATGTTAGTGGTCTTTTCCAACCTGAGTGATTGCATGATTCTATAAAAATATGTGAGGTTTAAGATTCTAAGATTCATTCATACCCTAGAAGATTACTGTCATTTTTTGACTATGAAATCAAAGACAAACATGAGTTACATATTTAATTACAGTTCTAAGTACACACCTAAGGATCAAAATTCACCATCAGGAGTTGGTTTTGAGGATTATACTTAATTAGTTTGGTTTAAATTAAACTGAGAAATTTAATCCACCTGAACATTCCACTTACTGTAGGTCTGATCTTCATACTGCTCAAGAGATTTCAACTTCTCCACGTATTTCCGAGAAATAAAGGTATTTTCTGGACTTTCTAAAAATCTGTGAGGCAAAAAACCCCCACCCAATCAGTTTTTCTTTTCTTTTACTGATGAACAAATGCTGGTGGAAAGTTTAAGTTTCCCCCTCCTTGCATGCTATTAGCTATGTCAGTTTTCAATGCTGGACTCGGTATTACACAATAATTTAATACATGTGTGTCTAAAGCTCTCACAGGAGCTTCCATCCTCTGTGTTCCTGCCTGAAAGCATGTTTGCTTAGGATCAGAACAAGAGAAAGGGACAGAGCACAATTTTCAAATAACTTGGATGTCTAGGTCCCCCAGAAGTATCCTTGAAGGTCTTGTCCCCATAAAAAATAAAAGTCTTTATGGACTCCTATGAAAAGTAGGACCAAAATGTCTGTACTTTTTCCTTCAGTTCTTTAGAACATTTAAGCTTTCCCAAAGTCACCAGCATATTTTTGTTAATGATTTAATTATAACCTCCCCCTCATCCCCCTACTTATTAGAATATAAATTAAGGTATTATGAACAAGCAGGAAAATGCACTTTTATTTTTGCATTGTTCAATACCTTTTTAGTACGTTCATCATGTTCGTTTGCAGTTATCTAGTTCTTCACTAAACAATTGCAATGAAATATTGCAATTTGGGCTAATTATCTCCTCAGACAGGGTTTTTTTTTTAGAAAGCTTCCAAGATGGTTGAAAGCTTGAAATGAAAATAAAAAGAGAAAAAACCCAAATAGCAGAGAAAGCAGCAGAGCTCTCTTTCTGTAATACTCTCAACATGAAATCTCATCCAAAATATTTCTGAAGTGCAGAGATTGGCACTGAACCAAGCTATACTGTTGGTAATTGTCATGTGCTTACCAACAAACCACATATTTCTAAATGTGTGCTTAAATTGTCCCCAACAGATGAATTCTAGAATGCTAAAGAATTACAGATTAGCTCAGATCCTAAAAAGTATGGAACTAGGCTTTCCAGATCTAGACACATACCCCACACTCTGGATACTTTCTAAAACACAGAATCACAGAATATTCTGAGTTGAAAGGGACACAAGGATCAAGTCCACCTCCTAAGCGAAATTCTATCCTGTAATTTTCTCACTTTCTTGTTTTCTCCTCTTTTTTTTTCCCTTAGATATATTCTCTTTCATAAGTAACTAAGCTCCTCCTCCTGAGTCTCATGAAAATTCCAAGTCTTACTTGTAAGCTAATGTTTTATAGAGAAAAAAAGTGCCTACTCCTGTAAAAGCTTACCAAACAAGTGGCAAGCAGAAGAGAAATGATTTATTTAAGTCACCTTCCACTCTCATTGGTATGTGTAAAATTAAGACAAGTTATCAGCCTTTTGAAAGAGTAGATGTAACAATGTACATATTATCTGAAATCAGTGAGAAAACAAGTTTAGAAGGAAACAGGGTAAACATAAAATGCAAGACAGTCATTTAATTGCTAACAATGCCAGAAGTGTCTACCTAAGGAAAATTCATTCATTCAAAATTAGTAGCTAAATATTCATTATTACAGCCTTATACCCACAACTGATTTGCAATACTCTGGCACAGTTTGAGTGTAATATAGTGTCATAGAAATGTACATCTAAAAGTGACTTCAAGAGTAATTAGTCCATGTTCCTGCTCCAAGAAGAGGTTTGCTATACCTATGCAATTTGAAAAAGAGGTTTTTCTAGCTCTCCCTGGAAGATTTTTCAGTAATGAAGAGCCTGTCACCTCCTCTAGCAATCTGTTCTAGCAATTCATTATGCTTGGCATAAAGTGGTTTTCTCAGTCATCAGACTTGAACCTTATACACTTTAAGTTCAGTATATTCTGGGTGTACAGAATAGGCTATTTCCTTACTGTATGCAGAAATCTCTATTGTATTTGAAGATTTATGCCTGTTCTCTCTTTTCTTCTTCAGCCTCAATGACTATCAACAGATCCTTTTTCCTGAAGTGCAATGTCTGAGCACAATACTCCACTAGAGGCTTCATCAAGGCTAATTGAAATGTGAGATTTCACATCCTTGTGCCTTTCAGGACAACCACTCATTTGAACATTTACATACTTACCTCCTTAATAACATGACTTCACTTACTCATGCTCGACACATGACAACACCTAAATCATATTTTGAAGAACTGTTTCTAATCAGTTCTTTCCTATCTTAGGTTTTCATTATTCCTGTATAAGAATCATACATGCTCCAGCAGAAACATGCTCCAACTACCCAGGTTAACTACGTGCTACACTGGATGGAGGGCCTGGACACACCTCCATCCATGGATTCTCTGTGCCTCATGCAAACAAATGCAAAATACAGTATGTATTGTATTCATACAGTATGTATGAAAATCTTCCTGCTTCTTTGAATTGCATTTTAAATCTGCTTTTAGCTATGGGTTAACTTCTGGAAGGAACCTGCAGTCAGAACATCACTGAAGCAAGAATAGAATCATAGAACATGGTTTGATTCCCAGCTGCAATACATATGTCAGTATTTCAAGGCATTCAATTCACAAATAGCTTAACTAAAGCTGTAATTTAAGCAATGAACAAAACTATCTTCCTAATTATAAATAAACAGTTTCATGTATATGGATACTGGCTTTGAACACAGATTCTAAACTAGAACAGTCGTGAAATCCTACACAAAACTGAGGCAACACATCTGTCAAGATTCAGTGTTTTGTCTTTAAAATCAGTATAATCATCTCCAAATTCCTGTAATGTTTAAAAAAAATCCAACAACAAAAACCACAGAAAAAAGAATAACATGCATGTTTTTCCAATGGCAGAAAAATCTGATGGATGGCATATGGTATGTTAAACACATAGCTCACCTCTGCCACTGAACACACTTCTGAGATTTTTTCAGTGCTGTTTGAACCAACAAGCAATGATTTATACTATTAAAAGTGATAGTTGTTTTGGAAGTTTTCTTAACAGAAACTGAGTTAGCAACCGAAGCATTTTCTGAGAAATACAGATTTATTTTGAATAACAGTTTAAGATATAATGCAAGTGTACCACTGCAAAATCATGTGTGTACTAGGGACATCTTTGTTTGAGAAGCATAGTAAGAGGTACAGCCATCTATATTTCCCCTTACTTTTATACTGTTTCATCCTTTTAACCCTCCTGTTAAATAAAGATCTTCTCAACAGTTTTTTACAAGACCAAATTATGCCTGTGTAGCATCATTAAGAAGGTTATTATGCACATCAGACTTCAGCTGCTCAAATACTTGATGTCAACTCACTAAGTAAACAGTATCTTTTGATTCTGAATCATTGTTACATTTAATTAGGTAATCTTAATCCATGGCTACCACAGGTATCAAACAACAGAACAAGTCATTTTCTACAGCACAGATGTACTCTATTAATACTCAAGGTAATTAACCACGTTCACAGATGAAGACTTTTGGAAAAATAATAGCAGGACAGAAAATACACGTGCATATTAATGCAAACTCATGTTGGCTCTAAGGGGAGAGCTCCAGCATCTTCTGCTTTTTTCCATTAGCAACGCAAACAGCAACACGTACATGTAAAGCTACACTTGTTACTTTGCTAAATATGTTAAACATTCACAATCTCCAAGAAGTTTTTTCTTTGCAGCTTGTCTGCATCTCTTTTCTGTTGTAAGCCACTTGAAAAATAAATAAACAAACAAATAGAAGTATCAGTAGCTGAGGTGGACATTTAAATAAAAACCCAGCATCTTTGAATAGGCATATAAATGAATTTGCTTATTTAAGAATCTTCTTCCTTTCTAACTCCCTCCATCCCTCAACTAACATGGATTTTGTTCCTTTGAGTTTTTTTTTTAAATACACAATACAAACCCACTCATATATACACAAAGCACATGATGGGATGAACTGCTGCACTTCTCCAAGGCAAATAAAGGAATTTAGATATAGTTCTGTGGCTAAATTAGAATATTAGCCACATATATTTAACTCATCAAGAATCCATTTAAGACAGCAAGTCTGAGAAGCTTACATTTATGCCCTGAAAGCTATGCATACTTTGATCCTCTTTGGGATCAGACCCACCCCAGTCACACCACAAACCAGATCATTCCTCTGTTCAGGTTTTCAGGCAATTCCATTCACACTTTAGCCACATTCCTTCTTATCCAGAAGCATGTAAGGCTTGTTCCTGAAAATATGTGGACACTATTCATATATCATGCACTTAACAGCATGAAACTTGAAGCTTCTGACAAATAAATTAACTGTAAGATGACAGCTATTATCTGATAAAGATCTGGATTAGGATTGTAAAACCCAAAGGCAAATAGTTTCTAAAGAACCTGAAAAATAAATATTTTAGTGGTGACAGTAAAACCAGTGCAATAATTGGTGCTTGGTATTTCACCTGTACCTCTTCTGTCAACACTAAGACTGCATGCATGAGGAAGAATGGCTCAGACTTGAAAACTAATATTCACTGACTGTGCTTTACCTGGCAATAAGCTGGAAAGCCAGCAAATTTATAATGCAGAATGCTCATTCAGAATTGTGCTAAAAGCCTGCTTTTGTCCTGAGTAAGTCAAGTCACTAAGGAAGCACTCATCACCTCAAAAATTGATCAATTCAAACCCTCTTACAGTCTACATCTGGCCAAATTGCTGTACTCTACCTAGCAGCTTAAAACTGTTTTCCAAGCATGTCACCAAATTTGTGTTTATATACTGAGCATGCAGGAAATCCTCCAGAGGAAAAGGCAAGACCGGGTAAGCTGCACACAGACCTCAGAAGGGGTGTCTTGAATCCACATCTGCTACAGACAAGGCTGGTTCAGAGCTTCCTGGTGCTTCAGAGGGAAGAAAAAAGGCAGCAGTAGGTCACTGCTGCCATTCACTTCTCCTTTCTGAGGCAGCTTTGTGCAGGGATCAGCAGGAATTTACTCTGAATCATAAGGGATTTTATCAGGAGCAATGAAATTCAGAACTACAGTAGAGTGAGTCCTGACCCTGAAACATGGAAAGCTTTGCCATGGACTTGAAAGAAGTACCAGGATTTTAGTCCAAAGGTATTAACAACTTTACAAGACTTCTGCATGAACTAAGCATGTGCCATTCATTTAGTTTAGATCTGGTCTATAACCATTCATCTGGGTTTTTAATAACCTAGATTAAGATACACACTTGCAAAAAAGATCAGTGTATGCATAGAGAGAATATACTTCCTACCCAATCTAATGGAACAGTAAATCTCTATATTCTGCTAATCCTTTTCTTATAAGTATCATTATTATATATATCAAGTTATTTTTATTTGGTATTTATCATTTTAACAATTTTAATATTTGTTTCTGTTTCCAAAAATTTGCCTGTTTAAACAACCTTACCAAAAAAAAAGCATTCCCCACACATGCAGCAATCTCCTTAGCACACTGCCAAAATTGCCACACAGCAGATCCAAGCTCCTGGAGACCAGCAAAGCTTACAGCCCACCTTCTAATGGTCTGCATCTGGGCAAACCCAGCAGCCTTGTGGGTACACAGGTGCCAGGAGCACAGGGAAATGGCAGGGACACAGCTAGGAGAATCCCTTCTGGATCAGGATAGTGA